ATGTGGCAATATACGTCTGAAGATTCCTGCAGCTTCTGATACAGCTTCAGACAACACTACCACCATACTGAAGGTCTAAGGTTCTTTCAGAGTGGGTTGGTTTTTTGTTTGTTTATTTTAAAGCAATAACTTACTGAACTGGACTTGCCATTTGTCATTCCAGAGAAAAGCTATGCAAATTCTTAGCACGTGTTGGGTCTCCTTATTACAGCCGCTAGCAAAGGAATTCATTTTGGAATCACAAGGTTTTAATACACACACATATGTACATATATACAAAAATATTTGTCAGTGGGTTAAAGGAGATTCCACAACACTTTCAGGTGGTTGATCTCTGAAGTGAAACTATCTACAACTCTCAAAGGAAAGTTGCAGTGGTTTTCTGTCTCAAATTCTGTATAACAGTAAGTACAGAAAAGAACAGAAAACAGCATGCACTTTAACAGTAAGAAACATTAGATAAGTGTAATCTACAGCAATGACTACTTAATAGCAGTTACTGCCTTTAACTGGTCTCTTCTAGTTTCAGAAAAGATACTTACTTCACTTATTGCTATTCACCCCAGTATGAGCCCAGTACCTGCTGATCAAACAATCCACTGCCCTTGTGATTTTTTTCATCCTACAGATGAAACATCTGCAACAGCAGATCTGTTTCTTTCTGTTGGTTGCAGTCTGTTAGGCTTCTGCTCTCCAACCTGATCATCTGAGATTGTTGTCCAAGTCACAGCTTGAAGATAGTGGGTGCTGGAGAACAAACAATCCACAGCCACATGCACCTTCATTCACACAGCTCATCTCTTCCTGTGTTTTCCCATTCTTTCTCATGTTTTCCCATTCTTTTGGAATGTCCTATATAGAAACCAGAAAAAAATTAAGACTTGTCAACTCTCACGACTCTGCTTCCTGAGACTTGGGAAGAGGAATGTGAGATTGGGCTACATGCTGCAGGTATCAGGGATCTGAGTGGCAGTCAGTGGGGAAAAAAAAAAACAACTAACCAACCAACCAAAAAAAAAACAAAAAACAAAAAAAACTTACAGGGCTTTGGATCATATCCCAGTATAGAGGTAGAAAGGGGAAGAACAGGAACACTCAATGGTCACAAAAGTAATCTCCAACCTGAGCCTGACTGTTCCATTGTAAAATGAAATGAAATGAAATAATGAAATGAAATGAAATTAAATTAAATTAAATTAAATAATGAAATGAAATGTTGCTGATAAACCTCAGCATTTTTTAAATGACTCAGTGATGCTCAAATCAGAGCATTAAATGAATCTTATAAGTAGTTACAGCCTTAGCTTTAAGTCTTGATTTGCTGTATCTGTTTTATCATTACTACAGGAAAATGGCTCACTGTGATCGTCTGATAGACGTGGATGACATGATGGTGATGGGTCACAAGCCAGATCCCATGTGTGTCTTCACTTATGTCCAGTCTCTATACAATCATCTACGACGCTTTGAATAAAAAGAGTGACACTTTTCAAATGGAGCACAGTGTTATTCCTTGCTTTTTAGTATGCCTTTGCTTACATGCACCTGCATGGCTGGCTGACTGAAGTGTTGCTGAGCAGCACCCCGAAGTGTTGATCACATCAGCATGTCAGTAATATTTTTGAAGAAGACAGAAAAAACATAGGGCAGGGCAAATGTTGTCATTTTGGTGCTAACAGTAGATTGAATTTTTAATATTCTTGTGTTTAAGGATCAGAGAAAGATAATTTGCTGCTTATATCTCTGTTAGGCTGGGGACACTTATGCAGTGACAGGTAACTGCTACAAAGGTGTTACCTCTTAAAATGCAGGTAAAAGTCTAGAAGATAGCACCTACAATTCCACTTCTTTGTGGAGCATAACACAAAAGAAATAGCTGATGGACAAGGAATGTTCTGGTTTGGCAAGTAATAACCTGGAGTACTCAACCACTAGGGCAATATTGCCCCTCCTCCAGCCCAGTCCAGCATACATGCACATGCACACACACCAAACAGGCATCGTTGTTCTGTTCAAGCAGAAAGAAAACATAGGCTCTTACCTACTGACTAGGGTCACAGATAACCATGTTACACAACAGCATTTGCCTGTAACGCTCAAGTATAAAGTGATTTGCTTGGAGGCTTGCTAAAGCCTCTACTGCCAGTCCTGGATTAATTTATTGATCGTGAAGAACAGCAACAGCTGGGGCTGTTCTCTGTATCATGTTGTGTATTTGCATGATTTAGGATTACAGGAGAAGGGGGAGCTAGGGTACAAAATCTACTGAGTGGTTGGAATAGAAGCAAGACTAGTGCACTCTGACCTGAACGCTGGAGGAGAGCAACTCTCCAGTGTGAACAGGAGTGAAGTCTTTACGACTTGCTCAGTCCCCATGCCAACTGTAAGGTGGACAGGCAATATGCTAAGGAAGTATGAAAGATGTGGGAGTTTTGAAATGCCTTGGACAAGTTTCCCTTTTCAATTAAATTTGCATTAACCCACAATACAGTGGGACTATTCAAGATCTACTGGATAAAAAGGTCATGTGTCACCCTTTCTGTTATTCTCTTTGGTAAATCAACAGAGGTTTTTTTTTACAGTGAATGTTAAAACCAAAACCACTAAAAAAGCATACTTTAAAAAAAAACCAAACAAGCCTTTTAAAATTATTTCTTCCCTAAATACAGGCTCATAGAAAGTAAAATCTGAAAGCCACAAGCCCTCTGCTCATGCTAGAAAATGTTTCTTAACCTGCACTTGTGGTTTTGGTAGATATTTGTAAAGATTACTTTGGTTCTGTATTGATGACCATTTATAATAAAATGTGTCAAATGCTTTTCAGATTTGCAGAGCGTGTGTGTGTATATATATATGAGACAGTAAATTGTGTTTAGCATGAGTAATAAAGAGAACAATATGTGTCAGCACAGTATATGGTTTATACATACTGTTTCCTAGCTTTTCTAATATTTCTTCACTGTGTCTAAAATTAGTACTATATAATGTGTTTCATTGGCACCCTGATCCTACTTCAAAGGGTAGAGCAATTCATTTTGTGCAAGACTTTCAAAATAATCTCAGCAGCACCATCACCTAACTTCTAGAAATTATGTCTGCATAGAGCTTCCTAAAGCAGGGATCTTCCTTGAAAGTACAATAATTGGATGGATGCCTTTCAGCACTTCTCCCTTTTTGTGACATTTCAAATCATATGTTTAGATTAAACACTTTCTCAAACCAATGTAAACTCTTGGATACATATAATTAGGTATAAACCAAGCCCACGTGGTTCAGCCTGTGTCATTAATTTAAACTTGGCCTGGCTTACAGAGATATTTTTAAGTGTCCAAACAAACAATTGGCATTGTTTTACATAAGCTGCATTTAAAAGCCACTTTTGGTTATGCTAAAATAACCCTATGTAACAATAAAGCCTCAGTGGAGTTAACACACAATCATAGAACATTAGGGGTTGGAAGGCACCTTTAGAAGTCACCTAGTTCCAACTGCCCCCTGTAGTTAGAACTGACATGTGCCACTAGAGCAGGTGGCTCAGAGATAGGTCCAACCTCAGATTGAATGCTTCCAAGGATGGGAGATCTACCACCAATCTGGGCATCTCTCTCACCACCCCCATTGTAAAAAATTACTTCCTTCTAGCCAGGCTAAATCTCACCTCTTTTAGTTTAAAACCATCACCCCCTCTGTCCTGTTGCAAGAGGCTCTGCTAAAAACATTGTCCCCATCTTCCTTATAGGCCCCCTATAAGTACTGAAAGGCTGCAACAAGGTCTCCCTGGAGCCTTCTGTTCTCCAGGCCGGACAACCTCAGCTCACTCAGCCCTTCTACATAGAAATTATTCTGGACACCTGTGGAACACCAGACCAAACCTGTTACATTAGTAAGCTTTGCAATTTCAGTAACATTGTAAGCAGGAAAGATGCTGTAGCATCAGCTCAACCTAAAGAATTCTCCCACATCAATGCACTGTCACAGCAATCCAGATGACAGTTGAATCCTTTGAAGAATCAAACTACCTGTTGTATTTCTTAATGCCACTAATAAGGACCATGACAACACATTTAACTTAGATCTACTCTCATAAATGCCTGTTTTTTGGACTCCTCCACAGAAAACAGAGTCTCTGCGAACTGTCATCACTTCTTCATAAAGAATAAGAACAGTTTCTAGTTCCAGGAACAATTCACCAAAGTGAGAAACTGGGCCTTTGTAAAATTCTTTACACAGGCATTGGCGTGGTAAGTGGTATGAAGTCTCTGCTACCTAACCAACACTTCCGTACTTAGGAGGATTTGTTCTTTAATGAGACTGTGCTTTTACCTGTTTGGGGGAAAGGCGATGCAGGTTTCGATACACCCAGCAGAAATTCGTCGATCGCCAGTAAGGCCGACCCAGCGCGGGCGATGCGACACCGCACACGCATGTCCGCGACCGTCAATCTGTTAAAGCGCGAGGAACAGTTCCGGGGAAAAAAAAAAAAAGAGTAGAAGCACAGACCCCCGAGTGGATGCGGAGACATGCGAGTAGCGGCGGGGAGAACCGACCGGCCTCGGAGAGC